GAAAAAAGTAATCTAAATTTACGAATGCATGTACTGTAAATACAGTACATACTTGTAAATGTATATATTTAATGTGATTTTATGTGCTTTAAACGCTTTTCTAGTGATATTACGACTTCAATATTTGTGGCGGACAGACGTAAAGTCGAATAAAATGACTTAAACTTGATTTTTATTTTTCCATATACTTTTTTGACAAACAACGTATAATCGGGAACGACGTAACTCGAAACGACGTAACTCGAGGTATACCTGTATTTGAGATCATAAAAACATTATTTACATAAATTAAACTTCCCTCTAACACCGGGGATGAAATACTAAATACGTAACCTGTTACCGGTGTACTTTTTGCGTGAAAAATCTTCTTTCCACAAACGTTTGAGCTTCCTAGATAGCTCTTCCTCAGGTAAAGAAAAAATTCCGACAGAATACTTCGAAAATTGAACGTAGATGTTTAAATAAAAAACGAATCTAAAAATAGAACGTCACTGTTTAAACAAAATATGAGACTCGTATAACGAACAATCATTGGGACAGTCATGCGCATTCGTGCGCTGATGTTGATATTTATAGATCGTTGTTTATGAGGGCCTGCCACGCTATAGAAAGATTAATCTCATCCTTCCAATTTATACATGTGGTCAGGTGGTTAGCCTTGCAGATGGATATAGCTTCCTGTATGGATATAGTATGGATACACTACGCCCCACCTGGAACATCTAAAATGGCGGGAAGCTATATCCATCTGCAAGGCTAACCACCTGACCACATGTATAAATCGGAAGGATGAGATTAATCTTTCTATAGCGTGGCAGGCCCTCATAAACAACGATCTATAAATATCAACATCAGCGCACGAATGCGCATGACCATCCCAATGATCGTTCGTTATACGAGTCTCATATTTTGTTTAAACAGCGACGTTCTATTTTTAGATTCGTTTTTTATTTAAACATCTATGTTCAATTTTCGAAGTATTCCGTCGGAATTTTTTCTTTACCTGAGGAAGAGCTATCTAGGAAGCTCAAAAACGTTTGTGGAAAGAAGATTTTTCACGCAAAAAGTACACCGGTAACAGGTTCCGTATTTATTATTATTTACAACCTTAACATGTATGTACTGTACCTATTTAGCAATCTCACATTTGCAAGGATGAAAACACACATTGTTTCTATTTCTGTATATTGAGTAATTTTAATGTTCCTATTGTTTCAAATCAGTAAAGAATATACACTTATTTTCAATCACTAAAATGTATTTCCAGTACGGAATTTTACACTTTAATTTCAACACTATGTTAATTTTGGTTTATCTAGATTTTCGTAAATCCAGATTGAGTCTGGGCCCGTTTGTTCCAGATAAATAGGGTTTGATTGTATACAACATTGCATTTGAAATTCTAGCTTTATACACTGTGTAATCAGATTTATCAACAATAAAAGTAAATCTCTGAGTATATGATATTGAATTTTTCAGAAAACCAATACATTTTTATATATAAATTTTGATTGCAAAAACAATAATTTATGTATTTTTAATAAAAATTCCACACAAATATTTAAGATTTTTACCTTTCAAATAAATAAATATTGTCTTCAGTTTGCAAGTACTGAGGAGGAAGTTCTGGTGTTTCTTCTTCCTCTTCTATTCCAGGTAATTTTTCGTGATTATGCTGCGATTCAGATAAATTTGAAACCGGCAGTGGGACTGGTGAATGCCTTTCATTAGTTTCAATAATATAAGTTGGTGTTGAACTACCACTAAGTTCACCTCTTTCCAACTCGCTACTTCGCCTCCATCGTGATTTTACTTTTTCTGGCTTTGGATTTTGAATATCATCTTGTTCTTTTCTTCCTTCATATTTTGGAGATGATGACTGTGATTGTGCAGGTGATGAAATATTCACATCAGTCTTGGTTTGTTTATTTTCTTCATTTTCACTTTCTTGCTTATGTTCAGCAATTTTTACATTATTTTTTCCTCGAACACTATTATTTCCTTTTGTTTTAGTCTTCCGTTCTTTTTTATCCTGAACAGGTGTACTTTTTTCTTTCTGATTTGTATCCACATCAGATTTCTTTGTAGTATCTTCCTTGTTTTTCTTTTCAGACTGAATTTTATCCTCTTTCTGTTTCTCCTGTCTTTTTTTATCTGATGTGTTTTCTTTATGATCAGATTTTCCTTTTTTAGTTTTTTCTACCTTTTCTCGTTCCTCTCTTTCTTTCTCTCTCTTTTCAACAATAGATCGGATTCGACTACTTCTTCTCACAGCTGTTTCTTCACAGCTAGAATAACTAGTGTCTTCCTTTTCTGAAATTTGTGTTTGTAAATCCAAATTCTGTAATGAATTACTGTTTTGAACTAATTCACTAGATGCTGCCAATTGAATGGTAGATATATCACACTGTTCTTGATTGTTTACACTTGCATTATCGCTATTTGAAACCGCACTCACCTCCATACTACTTTTTGCTACTTGGTTGTTATTTAACTTATCTTCGGATTTTGAAACTTGATCAGATCCCGCCGGTAAGCTGAGTTCAGTATCAAGTATTCGGAATTTTCCAAATTTCTTTTTATGTTCACTTTGACTGTTGGAATTATTACTGGTACCACTGCATCTTGAATCACTAGATTCTGCTTCAGATGACCATATGTTTTGTACTATGTTATCATTGCTATTTTCATCATTTCGAATATTTAATTTTTCTACAGATGAGTCTGTCTTAGAAGCATCTTGAACTTCTTTAAAATCGTTTTTATCCTGAGATTTTACTTGTCTAATTTCTTCTAAAACTGCATTATCATTATCTGAATTATGATTGATATTGACTAATGTTTTTAATTCTTCTGTTTTTATCTTTGGATCTTCTAGTTTTTGTGATGTGTCAGAATCAGTTTCATTACTGTGAGAAGAATTTGTAACCAATTGATTATTTTGGTCTGATGATAGTAAACAATTCATATCTGAAGAAAATTTTCCACTTTCCCCATTCATTTCTAGCCTATTTTCAACATTACAAGAATTTAGAGTTTCACCTATTTTTTCACTTATTTGATGAATTTCTTCATTTGAGTTCTGCATATCTGCTGTCTGTTTATCACAAACATCTTTTAAGTTTAAATTTTCACAGGAAGTTGTGTCACATATGTCTTTAGAATCAGCACTATCCAATTTTTCATGATTGTTGGCTTCGTCACATAAATTCTCATCATCGTCATCACTGTAAAATAATAATAATTTAATGTTTAGTTCACAAGAAAAACATGTTATTTTTCATGCAAACATTAATTTTAATGCAAATTCAAAGTTGTTATTATAATACAGCTAGAGTCTTGATTAACTGAGGTTTCACAAAATCTGAAGTAAATTACAGAAGAGTATTTTGTAAATGAAGTTATGAGAATGTAATACAATAATGAGGAGAACACAAACCTAACAGAGAACAGTTCATTTCACAAATCTTTACACATTACTTTGGATAATCAAGACTCTACTGTAATTAGAATTTAAAAGAATAATTGTAAACAAAACTGAAAAAACAAAATTTGTAATGTTTTAATTTATTCACTACTAATCACATGCCAAACGAGAAAATTACAATTCAAATTTTAAATATGCTTTTATTAATTTTATTACTATGTATTTATATCAGCAGTTCTCAAACAGTTTTGGTTTGCAGTGCACTGTGAAACATGTACATTTTTCAGGAACACTTTGTATACAAATTAACAAAATTAAATTTTAAATTACGAATAGTTGTGTACTATAATAACTGTTATCCTATAGACTTAGTCTAGCTAGTAGTTGATCACAGATGTAATAAGTCATTTTACAAATGAGTTATGAAAAAATTTTAAATGCCATATTTGCTCCAGTTACCATACAATAACTTGATTTTCTGAACAAGCTACTCGGTAAGAGCCATCCACAAAAAGTCGACTCCCTATACTTCATGTGTTAAAGAAAGTCGACAGCCCAACCAATAAATGACAGGACTACTGATTCAGAAATTAGTGGCACCAAGAACACCTCGTGTCACATAAATCATCAATGACATTGCTATTTAAATTACATTTCAATGTGAATGCAGGAGAGATACTATTTATATTTTTCAGTATGCACCACAGTTGAATTTAAATCAAATTAATTAATAAAAACTGCATTAATTAACATTCGTGTAATATAAATGGCATTCAATAATTTGTGTTTAAATATGCTTAAGTTAAATTAAATTAAATGACAAAAATTTATTAATATAATAGAGAGGTTGAGGCACAAGTTCAAACGTTAAACGTGTACGGGTAGCAGAAGTACACGTTACACGTTTCAAGTCCAAGTAAAAATCGTTGAGGCACACGTTCATAACATCACGTGACTCAGTGAACATCGCGCATTGACTCACGGGAAATAAGTTGAAAAAATGGCGGAAGCAAAATAAATCATAATTTTAACCCCAAACACAAAAAATGAAGACGTTTAAGCCAATCGTGTACTCACCAAGCTACACGTAGCAAACGCCATTATCGACGGTCCAGAACTGCCAGATGGCGGCGCTCACCCGTTACCCGTACACGTTTTGGGCTAAATACGTGCGCCTCAACCTCTCTAATATTATACACTATAATATTAATATTTATTAATACTAGATAGCCACTTAAAAGTAAAACTAATAAAATAATAATTAAAACTGGCCTTTACACCAAAACTAAAACTAAAAATAAAATAAAATTAATATTAATTATTTAATTAAAATTGAAATCAAATCAATAAACACATTATTTCAGAAGTGCGGATAAAGTACAGTACTTGTGGGTCTTGATTGATTTGGTTACATTTCATTTTGACAGTCAGAGTTGAGTCTTTATTTATAGTACTTTTTTGTAAAGTGTTAGTTTCAGTTTGGTTGGTAGTAACAGAACATTTTGCTTTTAATATAAATAAAATAAATGTAGTATAGATATAGCTAAAGTAATATTATTATATTGTCTTTATAAGCATTTTATGCATGAAATACAGCTAAAAAGGTAAAAAAAAAAATAAGTTGTTTTGGGGGTCAGAAATGAATTAATCCATTTTACATTGTTTCTTATGGAAAAATTTGTTTGAAAACAAATCAGTTTCCAAACAACTTTTAGGAATGAATTAAGTTCATAAACCAAAATTTAACTGTCTATTATAAGAAAATTTCTCTATACTAAACTTGAATATAATGACATTCAAGGTTTACTTATAACATCTGAGGAAAATGGGTTTACCTGTTTTCAAAATATGCATCTTATTGAATATCTTTGATTTGAAGAAAAAAGTATTTGCATAGTAATCAACTACCCAGTACAGTAATAATTTAAAAAAAAAAAAAAAAAAGCTGCATCACCTTTAAAATCTGAGAATTTTGTAAGTTTTTTAAATAATTGTGCAATATTTCACAAAAGTTGCATCATATAAAAGCTACCTGAATGAATGATACTATTGTGGAAGATTGCATCATCCAAAAATCTCTATACATACAGCCCGAACTTCCAGTGTGTGCATTTACGACTTGGATTGTTATGCTTCATTATGGTGAAATATCAATACATGCAACTAACACCACAAAACAAAAGTGTGGCCATTGCTTTACACACAGGACTTGCTACATGTTCCATAGTAGAAAGAATGGGCTGTTCACAGTCTATTGTTGTTCAATTTCTTCAGAAGTTGAAGAGAACTGAAAGCACAACAAGAAAGGGTGGCAGTGGTCATTCACACTTATCCACAGTGACCCAGGACAGATATTTAATATGACTGTGTCTTTGGAATAGAAGGTCTTCTTCACCTGACCTTAAGACAACATGGCAAAAGGAATCAGGTGTGCAAGCATCCACATCTACTGTATAAAAGCAGCTGTTTGGATTAGGTTTGGAATGTCGGGCCAAAAAGAAGCCTTTGCTGACTGCCAAAATGAGAAATAGCATAGAGAATGGACTATTGATCAGTGGAAATCAGTGGTGTTTTCCGATGAATTGAAACTCAAACTGCACAGACCAATAGACAGCATATTGTTAGACTGGGAGGAACACCATCCAAACTGTATTGTCCATACCATCAAGCATATTGTTTTCTAGATGATTTGGGGCTGTATTTCCGATCAAGGAGTTGAGTGTTTACAATTTATGCAAGGAACAATCAAGTGTATATTGACATTTTGGATAAGAAATTATTTTCCACCATCCAGGAACAGTTTGGGTCAGTTTCCAACTGCATCTTCCAGAATGATTCTGCTCCACGTCATTGAGTCAAAATATCTTCAACATCATCCCTAGACATTAGGCTTTAGTTTAACTAAAAGCTTGGTTGTACAGTGGAACCTCGCTTAATGAGCACCTCGCATAATGAGCAAAATAAATTGTAAAAGTTTGACTCGCTTAATGAACGATGTTTCTCATAACGAGTGACAAGGGGAGGGAAAATCCCGGATTGTGTGCATGCTCCATCAGTCTGTGTTTAGCACTCATTCCTTTAGCATCTTAGTGTTGCTTGTGATCACACATTTTTCCAAACTTGTATTCACACACATTTATACATAATGTATAAACATCGACAATCATAGCCCGTTATATAATAAACATGCCATCTCGTACTAAATTTAATAACTAATTTCAAATTAGATTTTAGAAATGTCTAAATTAAAAATTATTTATTTATAATTATTAAATTNAGAGAATTTTGGGTGCACCCAATATTACGAGATAGACTGACCCATGGAATGTTTGTGACGTTGTATCCAAAACTACGATAATATGAACCCAAGTTTTTTAATTATTTTAGAATGTCTATAAAATCATTTGACGACTTACTCCATATTATAAAAGTAGATATTACCCAAAAGCGCGCGATCAAATATACAGCAAAATGGCGGCGAAAATCTAGAAGCGCCCGTAAAGCACCGGTAAAGCGCGCGATCGCATGTACGGTAACATGGCAGCACATATATCTCAAAGCACCCGTAAAGCGCTCGCAAAACGCGCGTTTTAACAAAAATCTATAAACGCGCGTTAAACGCGCGCTTGGCGTTTGAGTGTGTACAGCTACATAGAACTCTTGGTTCTTTAAAACGAGCGTTAAACGCGCGTTGAAAAACGCCTAGTGTGTACAGGGTCTTAATTGTATGTAAATTTATATATGAGATTTCAGAAAAAATATGCAACCAAAAATATTATATATCAATTTTTTTTAATGTAAGAACTAGTAAACACTGACTAACTTTAAATAAATAACAAACTCATTAATCCTTTGCTGGTTTTTGGTTTATGAGTCTGTTTTATTTATTTAATTTTCTTTAGTTTATGGAACTGCTTCTAATATGAAATTGTTATTAAATGAAACAGAAAAAGAAATGTCTAAAAAATTTCTTAAAATAAAAGCATTTAAACAAGACAACAGGATTTCAGATGTAATTCAAGATGTTCAGAAAGCATACAACTCTATGAAGCTAACACATATGCTACAACAAATGCCAAAAACTCTGCATTGTTGTGCATTTCATACAAGCACACCTGATGAATTGTATTGTAAACATTCATTCAGTTGATATCACATACATTATTGAATGTTGACCTGCAAATGTTGAACTGTGTGTATGATTTGAATAGGAAAAAGTATATAAACATTTCTCCTTAAGATTGCATTACTTTCTGAACACCCTGTATCACATACTCAGATTTAGCAATGTTAAAATATCTTTGATAAAGGTAATTATAGTCAATCCCTGTTTACCCAGTTTTCTGGAATGCTTTAAACAGTCACTTCTTTTTAAATATTTATGCCTTCTGTGGAAAGATTATTATTTTTTGCAATACAGGTATACCTCGCCTTACGTCGGAAATTGGTTCCAGGAAAACAACGTAAGTCGAATTTACTTGTCTCCGAATCTACTTGTCACTAGGCTAAACCATAAATTACCATTCCCGGTTCTGTATTTTATTTATTAAGCTTACAAACAATTTTATTAAATTTTAGTTTTTAATATAGTACAAAAAAGTAATATAAATTTACGAATGCATGTACTGTAAATACAGTCGACCCCCCTATAACGTACGTTCTAATAACGACAATTCCTATAACGTAGCGAAAAAATTGTATAAACTGTCGTATAACATACCTCCCATAACGTCGTTTCGCGACAAGATTGATAGAGTCTGGACCAATAGTGGTTGAGCAGCCGAACTACTTTCCTCCGAC